CTACTCCTTTATAGGCATGTTAATTAATCTCTTCATGCATTTTAGATGGTTTTTTCTTTCAATAATATTTTTATCAGCAATTTGAGTTATTTATAAATTGTATTCCTAGTTGAAATCTTATTTTTCTTTTTCTAATTTCAGAATTTATTTTATTTTTTGTTTCGAATTTTAACTAATATTGTATTGTGTTCTTTTAATATTTTTATGTTTTATTTTCAATTTCAATTGTTTCAAAATTGTATTTCTACTTTAACTCTCTTTTTAATTTGTCTAAATTCGGGTTTTATTTTATTCTTTATTCCAAATTTTAATTAATTTTGTATTGGGTTCTTACATGTACTCTTATTTCAATATTGCTTATATTTGATTCCGAATTTCAGTTAATTTCTAATTGTATTTCTATTTGAACTCTTCTTTTCTTTTCTTCTTTCTAATTTTGAGTTTTTTAGTTTTTGTTTCTAATTTTAATAATCTCGTATGGAGTTTTTATATGGACTCTTTTTTTAATATTACTTAATTTTAATTCCAAATTTTAGTTATTTCTAAATTGTATTTATACTCGAACTCTTCTTTTCCTTTTTACTAATTTTGGATTTTATTTTATTTTTTATTCCGAATATTAGTTAATCTCGTATTGGGTTCTTACAAGGACTCTTCTTTCGTTAGTTCTTATTTTTAATTCTGAATTTCAATTATTTTTAAATTGTATTTCTAGTTGGACTCTCCTTTTCTTTTTTTCCAGTAGGGTGGCCCGCGCATTTGCATGGCTAGCACCGATATAAAATAATCTAATTTTTACTCCTTTATTTTCTTTTAAATTTGTAAAAGGTCAACTCATTTCCACATGATATTTTTTAAAATGAACATTATCATTACCAACTTTATAATTTTATATTTTTAAAAGTCGCATCGGGCGCTACCCCTCTCCTTTGTCACTCCTCTAGTTGCTCGCGTGGCTCGCCACCATTTCTATTGATTGTCACTGGGACCTTAAAAATCAAACCTTATCCCACCACTGTTTCGTTCTTATAGTTTTAAGCCGTCATTACTCTACTCCTTTACAGGCCGCCTCTCACTCCTCCCTTTTTGTCAATAGAATAAATCAAACCTGATTGTCATTGGGGTTTTATTTTTATAATCTATAGAAATCCTATCAACCACCATCACCCTACTCCTTGATGGCCTGCTTGTTGTTCCTCCTCTTTATTGTTGGCAGCATTTAAAAAATCGAATTTGATCATCGTTTTTAAAATCCCCGACAACTACCGCCACTCTACTCCTTTAAGGCTCGCCCGCCATCCATCGTTTCTATTATTAGTCGTCGTTGTTCCGTTTTTATTTTTTTAAAGTCTCGTCAACCACTGCGACTCTTTACAGCCTGCCTATCACTCCGCCTCTTTAATGTCAATAGGATTTTAAGATTCAAACCTAATCATCTTGGGTTTCCCTTTTATAGATTTTAGAAGTCTCATCAACCGTTGTCACCTTACTTCTTTATGGTCCGCCGGTCGCACTTAAGTTTATTGTCAGTGAGATTCTTAAAAATCAAACTTGGTCCTCCTTGGGTTACATTTTTATAGTTTATAAAAATCTGTTACACCATTGTCACCCTCCCACCACTCCTTTTTATTGTCATTGGAAATTAAAAAAAAATCCAACCTGATCATCATTAGTGTTCTATTTTATAGTTTTCCAAAGTCTCGCTAGCTGCCATTACCCTACTTGACCCATGGCTTGTCCTCAGCTATTCCTTTTCCTTGTCACTTAGAGATGCTCACACATGTGTACTCCCATTTTTATATATCCAACTATACTTTTATAAAATTAATAAATAATTATAAAATAGGATTTGTTTTAATATAAATTTTTCCCCTAAATATACAGTTGTACTTTGTACATAAATATTGTTATTAATCACTCCCCCTGTCTCAAAATAAATTAACTTTTATATGCAAATTTGTACATAACTTTAAGACAGATGGAGTACAACGCTATAATTTGGTCCGTAAGTGCTTATGTTTTTTTGGTTTAATGTGGTAATTTTGGGACGGAGCTAAGTGTCTATATCAGATTCATATATGAAAGTTGATTTGTTTTGGATGGAAAATACATCTTATAATTTAATCCCACCACGATCTAATTGCTTGGATTATATTTCTGTTCTTTAATTAATGTGGTAATTTTAGAACGGGGCAATATGTATCAAAGTAAAGACTAATAGTTGTACTCGGACAGTTTGCTTTGCTGTAAGCATATAGGAGTAGTATCCTTTATGTTTCTTTCTCTGCAGCACACAAACTTTCTCTATTTGTATGTGCTTCTGACATCTTGTCTGGAAAGTGCTACTTCTAAATAGAGTCCGATTATGCCAGAGCCTATTATTTTAGTTGGGTTAGACCTCTTCTTACGAATAAAGACTAATAAGGCCTTGTTTAGTTCCCACCCAAAAATAAGAGTCAGCTTATTACTTTGTACTTTAATCTGCTGGAGGTTAAGGTGATTGCTTATTTTTGTTTGATATTTAGCTAGGAATTAGTCAGTCATCCATGGGAACTGGACACAAATTTTTGTTTGGTAAAGCTAGTTTCCTATTTTTGTGTTTGTTTCTAACACATACATATGGTAATATACAAATTATAGCAAATTCGAAATAACAAAACAAATCAAGTCAAACTTACATATGGACTATCACTAAATCTCTACCATTAAAATCTAGTCATATCACAATCGAACGGTCCATAATTTTCTCTTTTTCTCTGACTAATGTGGAAATTTCTAGCCTCCACAGCGAACGTGATGCCTCATTTCAAAACTGTTTTAATAATATAATAGATAGATAGATTTTATTAATAGACCTTTCCAAAAAAAATATTTTCAAATTTGAACCTTTTGGTCGAGCTGGCGTGGCCAAATAGCTCTATCACGCTACATGCAGCTGGCGTGGTAGTGCTGGCCTACCACGACAGACCCTTGTCACGCCGCTGTGGTTGGCGTGGCCAAACGGTTTAATTTTTGAAAATATTTTTTTAAAGGTCTATTAATAAAATTTAAAAATAAAAAAATCCTCCCCCGCCATCTCGCGAAGAAACTAGTTATCCAAGCGCAAAATCTAAATGGAGAGGCCTCTCGATTTAGTCATAATGAGTGACCTCATTAGCTATTGTCTGATATGTGTTGTTGGAGAATCTTACTATAGTACTAGTCCATCAAGCAAATAGAAAAAATATTCCTACCACCTATATTTCAAATAAATGTTTCTCTTAAATTACTCATTCGATCTATGATCCAATTACACAATTATGTTCGTAATAATTAAATCTTTACGACAAGATCTCACATGATTATATTTTGATGAAAATTTACAAATTACTTTTATAATATATCTAAATTACTTTTAGATTTCACTAAATTACTTCTTAGATATATAAAAGTAAATTCAATAAAGTCTAAAAGTAATTTACATATATTACAGAAGTAACTTAAAACAAAAACAAAAAGAAAGTAACTTTGCTATGACATTAGAAGTGAATCCACTGTAGGGGTAAAAACATGACTCCATCTAGAAATTAAAGTAATCAGCACAATTATGGAATTGACTAAAAACAATAATAAAAATAATCACCTCTATAACATTATAAATGTATAGGAAGTACTTTAATCAAATCTAAAAGTAATATATATATATATATATGGTAAAAGTAACTTACATATATAATAAAAAATAAAAATAATTTAAGTATAAATATTTTTTTCATCATAACATAATCATGTAAGATCTTGTTGTACAGATTTAATTGCAACAAATACAATGGTGTAATCGGATCATAGATCAGATAAATAATTTAAAAGACATTTTATTTAAAATTTAAATGGGTAACAAGGATGCAAGTGGAAAGTTCTACTACTTTTACTAAGAAGAGTAATGAGGGGATATGCACTTTACTATTTTTGGTAAAAAAAAATGGTCGATGGTTAGCACTAACGAGAGCATGCGCTCTCTGTAGTCGGGTCCTTATCCAAGGGGAGCGACCCACATAGAATTGCGGAGCGCTTTTGCTCCAGCAATACACCAAAGAGACCTCTCTCTAGCCACCGCATGCATTGAGGTGTAGTATTCGAGGCGATCCACTCATATGTAGACACAGAAGCTGAATTGGCTTGTTGGCATGCCAAGGAAGCTATGAATGGTTGAATAAGACAAATAATCAACCATATGTACAAAAGCGAATAAATATAATTTATCTACTAAAAAATAAATGGAGAAGTACCTGCCAAGAGCTTGAGGAGCTTGAGTCGACAGTACACGCACCCTCCTCTATCTCAATATAGAGTAAATTGTATTGCCGGTACGTACATAGACTTATTAGGTGAATATAATCTAGTAAAACACTTATTTTGTACATGAACTTTCTCTGTGCGTGTGGACAAAGGTAAAAAGGGCACGGTATGGTTAATCTTACGTAAGTTGTTACTTGTTACTGATTAGAACTTTAGTTACACATATGAGAAGGGCATGAGACATGCTTACTTCGTCTTTCTGTTTCTGTCCCGTGCATTATTCCTCAGTTTTTATATGCCTTTTTTTTAATAATCAATATGCCTTATTATACCTTTTACTTAAATAGATGTACATAGCTAGGTAATATGTACGTAATATCCTTCTCATGTATATTGGTGTTAGTGCCGGTGTGCACCTCTGTCGGTTTGGAATTTCCCTTATGTCTTTATGTTTTCTTTTAAGGTGTGATTGTGTTTGGAACTTTTTTTTAATAATTTACTATAGCTCCGTGAGAAAAACCTGCAGGATTCTATTCCATTAAAAAAAAACAAGATTAGCCATGTTATGCCTTTTTACCTTTGGTTCGCACACACCCACCAATGCAATTTATTTAATTCTATGAAATAAATCATCGCTGTATGCTCCAGTATGATAATTCTTCTTAGATGTTGACGGCTATCATTATGCTATAAATAGCGAGCCAACCATGACCAAAGAGCACATGCTTAGCTAGACATGCTTATGTTGTTACTAAACATACGTAGACAAGTCCAAACTTTATACTTGAGAGAATCGAGTATCTCTGTAGCAAGAGTTCAGATGGGCCACCTCAATATCATGTTAGCTTTCCTTTCATTTGTGTTATTAGGGTTAGCTGAAGTCGAGGGAACTGTAGCACTGAGTCAAATCCTCTCAAATAGCCATCTGATCACCCCGTACCGAGAGGTTACGGCAAGAAAGTTTGAGAGAAGGTCCTTACTGCAGGATCATAGTAGTGATGATAGGAGATCATCTAATGCAAGCCTTCCCTCTGCTGCCACACTTGCTAACTGTCCAAAGCGATGCGGCAACTTGAGCTTCGACTATCCCTTCGGCATAGGAGATGGTTGTTTCCGCCATCCCGATTTCAGTCTCACATGCAACGCCACTACTCAGCCTCCCAAACTCCTCTTGCATATTAACGAAAGCGTGGAGGTTATAGATAATATTGAGGTCGTCGGTAAGGATATAGCTGAGTTTTTCTACTTCAACTTCTTTATGGTCGCATTTAACCATCTCATCCCCATAAAAGCTGGTGTCGATGTCTATAACCTTACATGGAAAGCCCCAGGGATTTCTTTTACTATTTCAGAGATGATGATAATTACTGTCGTCAGCTGCGACTTGGATGTATTCTTGATAGGCCAAGACAACACTCCTAAACTGCTTTGCATGGTTGCTTGTCCCAACAAAGAGATTGCAGACATGGTGTACATGCAAGACTGTGAAGGCCCTGGCTGTTGTACTGTATTATCTGAAACACCAGTTCAGGCTGTACAATTGCAGTTTGTTCGCCATGAGACAAGTAATGCTGGAAAAATCTCCAATCTCAGCATGCTATGGGATAGAATCAACATAACTATTGGGGCGCCACTTGTTTGGAGTATTGTTGACCAAACAAGATGCTCAAGAAACATGGAAGATAACTTCGCTTGTGTCAGCAACCACAGTGGGTGCATAACTTCTGTGTTTAGAGATATTGGCTATGCCTGCCAATGCAATTCTGGCTACAAGGGAAATCCTTTTATCCTTGATGGTTGCAAGCATGACAGCGGTAACTTTCTCCACCATACCTTAATTATCGTATTAATTTAAAAGATAAGGATAGCAATCCGGCCTCTATATCTACAGTAGTCAGTAGATATACCTTGTCGTCGTATTACATTTAAAAAAACAAAAGTCACTGTTTTAGTACTTTAAATATCCAAGCATTTGATTTTAGTACTGAAAGTCTGAAATCAACATGCACAATCATCTGATTTTGACCTGACATTTGGGAGTTGGGACCGATTGTAATTTGTAACCCTTTCTCTTGTCTTCACCATGCTATTTGACGCAATGAACAGGATGAGGTAAGTAATATGCTGACGGAGCAATTGAATGTCATATTCAGGATCAAGTATATTCCTCTTTAATTCCAGGGAACTGACAAAAAAACGAATTATTCAGCAACCACACGAGTAAGTTCTTGTCAGTTTCCACCCTAGGAAGATCAGCTCGGAATATTTTTAGCCACTTGACATTTTTGTCAAAAAATTTGGGAACTTCTGGGATAATTGGGTTTGCAGATAGAATTTTCTCCCATAATTAGTGAATATATACTTCTGGGGCAAACATATTTTCCACTTTTTTTTCCTTCTACTAGGATAAACAGTATATACTGGATTTTATTATTTCCATTTATTCATTTTGGAAATGAAAACATTATCTCTCTTTTACCGATACCATATTTTGTGGTCAACAATAGATGACTATACAGTACTTTGATGTTCTCGTACAAAATGAAAATGCACTATTAATCCACTTTATCTATGCGTAAATACATGCATCACTCATTTTTACAAATACAACTAGGACATGTATGCGATCACATCCTATGTACACAAGCTTTGCATGTAAACATCGTGCACACCAACTAACAAATATCACAGAAAAATCTAAAGTATTATATCCCAATATAAAATCTTAACCTCAAATTTATTATATTTTTACCTAAAAATAAAAATTTGATAATTTTAAACTCAAATTTATTATATCTTTTTAGATCTAATTTGAAGATAAAATGTATCCGTGCAATTTTATCTATAATTTTCGGTGATATTTGTTGTTAGTGTGCACGGTATGTACACAGGAAGGCTTATGTGTATACGATTATGTTTCCAACATGTATACCCTTTTACCAGAAACAACGAGAACACTTGGAGATGGGGCATAACATGGAGTTTTTACTGATGCCAGGTTACAACCCTAGACCAGAAAAGCATAATTGCGCTCGACAATGTGGGACAATCACAGTCCCGTTTCCGTTTGGCCTTGAAGAGGGTTGCTCCGCAAGGAAACGTTTTCAGCTCAACTGCTCCGACAAGACAAATTCGGTCCTCAAGTTCAATGACTATTTTCAGGTGACGTATATAAATGTCAGTGAAGGACTTCTGGGCATCAAACACAACTCATCGCTGGAGGAGCAACTATTCAATATAATGATGGAAATGATGACTTCTGATAATGAGCCAGACCTATTTGTTGACCCTCTTGAATCAGTCTCTGTGCAATGGGCCGTTGCCAACCTGACATGCCAAGAGGCGCAACACAACACTTCTGGATATGCATGTGTAAGTACCAGCAGCTCCTGCTTGAATGTCCTTAGCTCCATGGATGGTTATGTTGGCTACAGATGCAGTTGCTTGCCTGGTTATCGTGGAAATCCATACATCCTAGATGGCTGCGAAGGTAATTCACCAACTTCATCCCCCAAATTAAACATGATTGCTGCAAAGGTCACATTGAATTCAAATCTTTGATATTTAAACAACGAAAAACATCGACCATTATGGCCTAACAGAGTCAACGATACCAATCACCAATGCTGAAACATCAAATTTCAAATGATGTTCGAGTGGCTGCTCTTCCCTACTGTCATATTTTTATCCTGATCAGTAAATTTTATTAAATTAACTATTAAATAATCACAATTTCTCTTATTTTCTACAAATTGAACGATGTTCTTGCATACAAAGCAAAGAGTTCCTCATGGAAATTATCTGACTATCAAACATACATAAGTCCCCAATGTTTTCTTAATATTTATCATTCTAGTGTGATAAAAAGAATCATGTGGCCAATATTTTATTTGGTACATAAATACAGTTTTTTGTTCAAAATTATATATTGCCTTACTGAGATGTGTTTACCGGTTACAGATATCGACGAGTGCCGAGAGACACCAGGAATTTGTAAAGGAGTTTGCAAGAATACCGTTGGAAACTACAGCTGCACCAAGTGCCCTGATCATACCGAGTACGATATTTTAAGAATGCAGTGTACTCCAATAAGAAAGAAAAGCTTCTACTTAGGTGAGTCCTAATGTCCTATAGTGATCAAACAACACTGGTAGAGGGTGCATTGATATATATCATAGGGGATTTTATCATTGTAGGTATTATAATTGGCCTTAGCAGTGGCTTTGGAATGCTACTTCTTGGATTAAGTGGAATAGTTCTCATTCGAAGATGGAAAAGACATGCACAGAAAAGACTGCAGACGAAGTATTTCCGAAAGAACCAGGGCCTTCTATTGGAACAATTGATATCATCGGATGAAAATGCTAGTGAGAAGACAAAAATTTTCTCCTTAGAAGAGCTTAAAAAGGCGACAAATAACTTTGATACCACACGTATCCTTGGCCGTGGAGGGCATGGAACAGTATACAAAGGTATCTTATCTAACCAACATGTGGTGGCTATTAAAAAGGCCAAAGTTATAAGGGAATGCGAGATTAATGATTTCATCAACGAGGTTTCGATTCTTTCTCAGATAAATCACCGAAATATTGTTAAACTCTTTGGATGCTGTCTTGAAACTGAGGTCCCCTTATTAGTCTATGATTTTATTCCCAATGGTTCATTGTTCGGACTACTTCATCCAGATTCCAGTAGCACAATCTATTTATCATGGGGTGACTGCCTAAGGATTGCAGCAGAAGCAGCTGGAGCTCTATATTATCTCCACTCTGCAGCATCAATTTCCATCTTCCACCGTGATGTGAAGTCATCTAATATACTCTTGGATGCAAACTATACTGCTAAAGTTTCAGATTTTGGTGCTTCAAGATCAGTTCCCATCGATCAAACCCATATCATCACAAATGTACAGGGTACATTTGGTTACTTGGATCCAGAATATTACCAAACTAGGCAGCTAAATGAGAAGAGTGATGTCTATAGTTTTGGTGTGGTACTCCTAGAACTTCTTCTGAGAAAGCAACCCATTTTTACAATAAACTCTGGGATGAAACAAAATTTGTGTAGTTACTTCCTTTCAGAGATTAAAACCAGGCCAATTACAGATATGGTCGATGCTCAAGTTCTCGAAGAAGCAAATGAGGAAGATATCAAAGAAGTTGCATCCCTTGCTGAGATGTGCTTGAAGCTAAAAGGTGAAGAAAGGCCCACGATGAAGAAAGTAGAGATGACGTTACAGCTTCTGCGAACAAAAACGATGAACTCATCTCAAGTAGATCCAACCATTGACCAAGAGATTCAAACTGTTCTGACTGAAGGAGCCAGTGACCCAGAGATACAACCATTAGTAACAAATTTGGATGTTGATAGAGCTAATGCAGCATCTCAACGCTTCCAAATATCATGCTATAGCTTGGAGCAAGAATTCTTGTCATCTGCTAGCTTACCACGGTAGATGTGTTTATCCTATTTCTGATGTGTTTAGTTAACTTGCATATGTATTGTGTACTTGCAGTCATGTATGTTGAAATGAGAAATTATACTATATGCCATCAACAAGGAGCTAATTCTGCAATATGCTATTGATGAATGCAAATTGTCTAACGTACTGTTGCACAAGTCATTTTCTTCCATTTAGGCCATTCCTATTAGTTTCCTGTACGTTGTATTATATGACTCTAATCCTTATAGGACATGGAAAAGGAGAGATAAAAGGGTTCATAACTTATCTCTTTATATCCAAAAGGATTAGGATTCCTATTACGACTTGTTTGGCAACTCGAGGGAAGGGGATTAGGAGTTTACACGAGAGAATTGATGGTGAGATTAAGATGGGAATTTGATTTTTAATCCCGGTATCTTGTTTGGTAGAGGTGGTGGAAATTGATAGGGAGTTTTGTTGAAGATTAGGTCATTAAGGAAAACGGATGGCTGAGATTTGTTTAGGCAAAGTAAAGGAGGAATTCCCTCTCAATTACCACCCCATACCCAGGTATTGAAAAGGAGGGAGTTCCTTCCTCAATTCCTCATCCCCATCCCACCAAAATTCCCATGTATCCCAACCAAACAAATCAGTTAATAGCCTTATCCCTCTAAACTCCAAATCCCTCCTATAAACTCCCTCCAACCAAACGGACCGTAGGTTAGGTTTTTCTGTTTATTAATTTAGGAGTAGGCACATAAATGCTAAAGTGGGAGGTCCCCAAGAGGCTAAGTCATAAACAAAGTTAGAGAAGTTCATCCAAAGTAAAAGCATTCTCTTGTAATCTCTGGAGGTTCAGTTTGATGATTTGCCACCAGCTTCGCAAAATTTTCTCTTCTTGTGAGTTGTTTCTTAACCATCATTGTGGTTTTCTATGGGATTCATCTGGCTTGACATGCATGCTTGTGCCTTATACCAACACTACCATAGCCCCGCTTTTTTCTATGCTGGTTTCCCCATCCATGTCCAGGCCACATGGATGCTGCACATGGATGCTTTTGATCACTTTCCGTCGATCTCGGGAGACGCAGCCCAAGGTTTATACTTTATACCTCGATCATGCATGGCATTGTTGGATGACCCCTCAAGGACCAGGTGCCTCTCGAGCTTAGTTGTTGGATCCTAGAATGGCCTCCTTGGTTGGATGTTGCATAGGGTTGGTGTGGCTTGAGCCACCACCTGGGATGGTTGCCAATGGTGTAGGGACTGCACTGTCCCTTGCACATGTGCCAGGGCTGCCAACTAGTAGCCTAAGTGGCTGAGGAGTAGGGAAAGAATGGAAGTTCAACATGTACAAAGGGGTATTTCGAGTTGCATAAAAATTGACAAGGTCAAATAGGCATCACTTAGAGATCCTATAACAGCGATGGCACAAAAGGAACAAAATGCGTTGTACGATGTTGTATTGCAAAATTTGCATTTGTTGATGGCATACCGTAGAACTAGGTCCTTATTGATGGCAGAATTTATCATGTTCTACAAAAACCACATTTCAATGAATTGAGAATGGACTTTCTTTTGCAGGGACATTTCAATGGATGGACTTATTAAAACAAAAGTATTGCAGAATACTACTCAATATTCAGTGGATTAAACTAGTTACAATCTATTGTATAACTTTTAAAGTGGTAATGCATCGCAATACCCGGATTTAGTTGGATACTTGGATCCAATTCGAGAAATTTTGTAGTTTCATTAATCAAGGCTAATGCATTTCCTCATTCATGGTGTGATGGTTTGGTGTCCCAAGCGATTTGGGATCCTAATTCTGATCAACCTACTGTGAAAACCTTTACTCGAGGAGGTGCTGCCAGTCACTACATCCACTCCGCGCAATACATGCCGATGCTATTCCAGCTAGTAATCGAGGAAGGAGGGCTCAAGGGCATAAGTTACTGCTGTTACTCCTGTTCTACATAGGTCTGGGCATCTGGCAAAGTCTAGTTCTTCAGCAAAAAATGTCACCTCCTCAGCTCCTCCAGAGCCCAGTATAGGAAAGGAGCTAAATGCATCATTTGTTTGAATAACACAAATACTGTAGGAATGGAGAAATGGAGTAATTTCTTTGAATCACAAAAGTAGCCTGCTGTTGTCTAGTACAATGAACATAACCATAGAAATCCAAAGGCCAATGCATATTCTCATGCTTGTTTTTTTTATGTTCATATCAATTTCCATCTTTTTGCTCATCCTTACTTTCTTTTTGTTGCAAATTTAGATGTCAAATTTAAAATTGTATGTTTTTGGAGTAATATATCACATATTGATCTATCTTGTCAATTTTTTCATAACAATTTATGTGGCATTCAAGAAACGAGGGGACATCCCCTCGAGGGATAAAAAGGGTTTTCCATGTAGCTATGATTTCGTGGATGTGGGATGGCATATCCAACTCGGATGATGCACAATAATAGCTCATAGTTTGGTACATCTGTTTGCCAAATTAAACTATAGAACGAAGGAGAACATCAGAAAAAGTTGCAGCTTCACGCAGCAAAAGAATATGTGTTCACGCACGTTCTTCTTGGTGTTCACTTCATTTGTGTTAGTAGAAGATGCTAGTCTGCTAGACTGACACAGATTGATCCAAATTTCAATATTGGTCAACCCTTACTAATCTGCCATGCTTTGTTTATTTAGTTGATTAGAGAAGGAAAGAGTTATTTTTCTTTGAGAAACAAACATAACATTAAATGCATGCACAGAATCTGTCCATACAAGCTACAAAATTGAACAACCTAATTGGGCAGCCATCACTACCTCAAGAAGATCTATGTTGCAACTAATTCCATAACTCGTTAACATTTGGGGAGAAGAAGGCCCAGTTCTAGGTTTATATTTGGAAATTGATTTGTTACTATCCTTTTTGTTGCCCCTGTAACCCTCTTCAGCTCCTAAGATCCACTCTATGACTACCGCACTAGCTCATGAGTGTATACTGTATAGTACCCAGTTACACTTTATTTTTTTCATATAGAAGATTTATGGTACATGGTAGTCTGGTACTAGACAAACTACAACTACATGGCAATAGAGGACACTGAGTGGTAGTGGCTCATACTATTATAGTTCCAATAGGCAAAATTTCTTGTGTTGGTGGGTGTAATCCATGCCTGATTACCTTGGTGTGCTCATTTCTTAAGAAAGCAAGCCCCTAGATGTGATTTTACTAGGTTGAACAAAGATCTAGCTTCTATGCAGCCGTGATAACATTATTATGGAATGGAGCATTCAAAATCCATGGTGGAATGGACTAATGCAGTATTCCAGAAAAAGAAAGAATGGACCAATGCAGCCATAACGAAAATGCTCAGATTGAGAAATACTTCAACTTCTTGGACTTCAAAATTTTCAATTGAAGAATATTCGGCCTAAATTAAGAACTTTATATTTATCGAAAATCATGTAGAGAGATTTACCTTGGTGCTGTCAGAGAGGAAACCAACCCTCATGTGTTTCCAGATAGTGACACCACATGAGCTCCCTAGCTATATCCTCCGTGTCTCAGAGTAGACGAAGACAAGATGTGTACCTGGGGAGGAAGGAAAGAGAAAGACAAGAAAGACAGGTGTGTCACATAATAGGTAGAGAATGCGGATATTGATGGAGAATAATGGGATCATGAAACAGGCAAAAGTGCATGGACATCAATACTGATCCAGGAAGGTGGTGCAGGAAATGATGAAACAATTTATCGTTTAAAACCCATACTTGAAAGAAAACGTAAAATATAATTCACTAATCCAACATTTCTTTAACCATGCAGTTTTTGCTAGAAAATTTGAACTTCAATTAGATGGATTATTATTCTTCTCTAACTTGGCTTTAGGATCAATACAAATATAATCAGATAGATCATCAGCACCACATGATTCACACATCTTCATTTTTATTTGGAAAATCCATTTGATGGTAGTGTCCTCTAAACCTAATAACCTATACTAATTTCTTGAGAGTACATTTGGAAAATCCATTTGGAAAATCCATTTTTACAAGTACATTTTCATTCCACGCCTGCTTAATTCATGACAATGAAAGCAATATAATTTAAATACATTCAATGATTAGTAGAAAAATTTCAATGTTATCTGTACCTATATGCATAATATATTACCCATACCCATGTCCCATACTGTCTGCACGTAGCAATTAAGAGACATTTCATATTTTGGACATCCACAGAATCACGGTGGGTATCAACACTGATATACAAAAAAATAAAAGTACGGATGAATTTACAGAGGAACTGGGGCACATCAAAATTTCTACTCTTGGAAATGGAATCACCGAATCAGAATCAGGTGACACAACGAATTCAGCATAGGGATTTCCTCAAGGGAAAAATATACATCAAAGAATCATTTCTGTCTACCAAGATCATGTAAACATTTGAGCTTGAATTCTTGGGAAAAGGCACAGAAATGTGCCATGGTGGCTTTAATCTAAATCCAGTCCTCTGTGCAAAAGACGGTATCACTGAACAAATGACAGGTTGAAAATTGAGTAATTTCAATGCAGAACTTCCAATTGAATAGCTTAGGTGAAGGTCAACATTTTAGTTCCTTGCATGATTAGACTACTCCATCACTGGTTAACATATGTTGTATCCAAGAAAACGATCCATGGCAACGTCAGAAAATCGACATAAGCCAAAATTTCCATCTTACTATTGCATATTATCAAGTACAGTGTATAACAAAAATTGATATATCACATCAAAAGTACCCCTCGCAGAAAGGCACGTTGAACAAATTGATTCAACATGCAAATATCAAACATAAATCTTCTACGGCATATTTTATCAAGCATAGTCAGTACATCTAAGCATATTTATACGACAAAGAAGATGATGAGGCACAATACCTCTCAAAGATCTTTTGCTCTTTCATCTGCCACAATAAACTTTCACTTTTTATAAACCATCAATAAGCATGGCATTGACCATATCAACAAGAGTTAGCAGAACTGCACATTAATCCCTAGCCATGAAGAACCAGAATAGAAGTACTGAATTCCAGATCATCATATCCAATCCCCTCAACATCTATTAGGCACAGTGACACCTGAAGTTTCCCAGCACTGCAGAGAGTCTACCCTCATTGTGACTGTATAAAACTAAACACATCCAGCTGAGTTCTCTCCAAGAACAGGATCAAGCAGCATCTTGAGGACCAAGACACAATAAGAAATGTCACAGAACCTGCCCTTCAGAGCATTATAGCACACAACACATCGAAATGCAGCCCAGTTCTGAAAATTCACTGTTTCGGTTAGTCAGGGATAGCTATATTGTGGGCATAACATAACGCATAACATCTACTTGTCGAAATGCCTCATCCATTAGCCTCCCTCACCCTGGCATCCTGCACAGGCAAGAAATATAAATAAATGTTCTAGAAATTAGTAAGTTAGGCATCCATCCACGATCCACCCCATCGTCTCACCTTGCGTAGAGATCGTCCTCTCCGCCATGCTTAATTAATTCATCGATTTGCCCCGCTATGAGCGTGCTACATCCAGCAGGCGCCTGACCTGCATCGGCCAATCTATCTGCCTCGAGGACTCTTCCTTACCCGCTTAGATAGTAGAATGCTGGTGTAGGAGCAGGAGCAGAGAGTGAGCTTAATCCCGTCCTCAAAGCACCCCGCAGCGGCCATGGCGAGCAAGACGCGGTCGCCGGGCCGGCGGGATGGTGTGGGGCGGGTTCGTGCGGACAGTGCGGCGGAGCCGCGAGGGAGGCGTCGGAGCGAATGCGACTGCAAAGTCCGTGAAGAGGGGATGCAAGATCAGGTGATTTTGTAGAAATTTTACAATATGCCACTCTTGAGCAGCTGGCTTCAACAGAATGCCACCTTATAAAAATACCACTCTATACATAATACACCTTAATAAAATGCTGCTTTGGGTTGTTTTGAGCTTTTTTTTACCAGACTTCGCTTGTGAAATGACCAAAATACCCTGCTCCAGATGCATTTCTTCCTTATCCCTTCTTCTTGGTCCCCCGCCCCTATGTACGAGACGGCGACAGGGAGGAGGAGCCGCTCGCGGCTACTGTGAAGGGGAGAAGGCAGCCTTCCGGCGAGCTCACGTCATCGCTGTCGTCGCGAGTCAAGGGGAGAGAGCAGGCGGCAGCAGGGGTGGGAGGGGAGAGGAGAGGGGAAGGAGGCGGCGGCGGTTGGGAGCTCGCATAGTCGTCGTGTTGACAGGATACACGTGGCCTGGGAGATCTGCTTAACTCCAGTGTAGGTCCAAAGCTCGCCTTCGGATGTATTAGCGTGCCAGTTGATTTGATCCTGTAATCAACAAGAAATAGAAACAAAGAAATCGTGGTTAAATCTATAAATGATAGCCGATCGGCTAGATGCCGATGACATATCATTTATCTTTGAGCCGATGTCATTTGTGTATCGATCGGCAGTCATGAATAAGTAAAAAGAACCAAATCTACTCGACGGCTGTAGATATTAACGATATATACTCCTTATATCGATATATATTTAAATCAAGTGATTGGGATAGATCGGTCACCATGCCGAGACAGTATAAACCACTTAGATCGAAATATATATCAATAACAGGACTATATATGTTTATAGCGTAGCCGATCAGATTGATCTAGCATGTATCGGCTAATACTCCGATACTACTCTATATCAGGATATTAGAGCAGGTACAATATATCAATCAAAGGTCTAGCATACTTAGTTACAGCAACATCTTGATATAAAGGGCAGATTTAACATGTCAATAAAGCATATAGAACAAATATAGTTAAATCAGATAAGATCGGCTGAAACTCCGATGCTATCCTAATCGGCAACTAGAAGGCAGGCTAGAGATCGATATTCTAAGCACGACTTAATAAATCAAACTCAACTGATACAGCATTAAGTATGAAAAGAAGAAAGATATATAGACAATCAAGCCGCTAGAAGCTTCATAGAATGGTAGATATCTTATATAATCTAGATCAACATCGAAATCTAACCTAATCGGCTGTCTTCTGTTAGCAGATGTTGGCCGATAATGAGTTAGATAGTGTCGGAGAATGAACTCCTCCACCATGGAACCGTGAGGCCCCCCTTTGTGAGTTCGGCCGGGGGCAGCGGGTGAGATTCGAGGATTCGATGAGCGAAGCTGTGTGATCTTGAGGGGGTTCAATCCCCCAAAGACGATGAGACAAAAGGGGTTTATACAGGTTCGGGCCGCTATGAAGCGTAATACCCTACTCCTGTGTTTGGAATTATGGTCGAGTGTAGAACACAAGTGCCTGGGGTTGCGATACTCAAGCGCCAGTTCGCTCGGAAGTCCTCCCTACTACTAGGCCTGGACCTCCTTTTATACCACAAGGGGTTACCACATGGGCGCAACAACCTAACCTAGATCCAGTTGAGAAGTATTATAATCTTTGGATTAAATACATGTCTTGTCTCTTGACTTGGGAAGCCAAGCGCACGTCGTCTTGATGATGGGGCCTGTCAAATCTTGCCGCCTGACCCACCGTACGTGGTGACCTAGAGAGGGGGTCGGGGGAGCCCAACCCCTAGTCACGGGAGGGGGCGGCCGCCACCCGACCTCGGGCCCGATCCCCCCTCGGGGGAGGGCCACGTGGTGCCTGGAGCAGCCTCCTCCGACTAGTCTTTGTGAAGGAGTGGCCGCCACCCCACCTCGGGCCTGACTCCCCTCGGGGAGGGCCACGTGGCATTGGGGGGCGGCCTCCTCCGACTAGTCTTTGGAAAGGAGTGGCCGCCACCCCACCTCAGGCCTGACTCCCCTCCGGGGAGGGCCACGTGGCATCGGGGGACGGCCTCCTCCGACTAGCCTTTGGGAAGGAGTGGCCGCCACCCCACCTCAGGCCTGACTCCCCTCCGGGGAGGGCCATGTGGCATGGGGGGCGGCCTCCTCCGACTAATCTTTGGGAAGGAGTGGCCGCCACCCCACCTCGGGCCTGACTCCCCTCCCAGGGAGGGCCACGTGGCATCGGGGGGCAGCCTCCTCCGACTATTCTTTGGGAAGGAGTGGCCGCCACCCCACCTCGGGCCTGACTCCCCTCCGGGGAGGGCCACGTGGCATCGGGGGGCGGCCTCCTCCGACTAGTCTTTGGGAAGGAGTGGCCGCCACCCCACCTCGGGCCTGACTCCCCTCCAGGAAGGGCCACGTGGCCTTGGGGGCGTCCTCCTCCGACTAGTCTTTGGGAAGAAATGGCCGCCGCCCTACCTCGGGCCTCACTCCCCTCGGGGGAGGGCCACGTGGCCTTGGGGGCAGCCTCCTCCGACTAGTCTTTGGGAAGGAGTGACCGCCACCCCACCTCGGGCCTCACTCCCCTCGGGGGGGGGCACGTGGCCTTGGGGGGCAGCCTCCTCCCTCTAAACCCCTTGGGGAGGGCCACGTGGCCTTGGGGGGCAGCCTCCTCCCTCTAAACATGATACCCCGGGCCCATATCACCAACAGTAGCCCCCGGCGTTAGCCCTGACCAAAACCTTTCCCAGGTGGTCAGGGTTGACACCAATCTTCTAGTCAGTTGACATGTGGGCCCGATCTTCTATCCTATCATTCTGGGAGTTGGGCGGTGGGAGTTTAGCACGTACCTTAGGCCGTGAACTTATTTCCTGTATATACTCAGCAAACGTTGTTAGATTCTCTCGGGCCCATGACCTTACGCCACGTACCTCGCTTGCCCCTGCCTTTTGTTAACCTCTGTTGGTGTTCTACTTCATCTATTCAAACGATTATTTTCTCGTGAGCGTGAGGACTAAACTTCCCATAGTTAGCAATCTTTACCCGCGATCGGCCAGGCTGGGCGCCGTAGCCAGCCGGCGGGGCCAAAGCTAGCTGCTACGGAAGAGCCAGCACAGGGGGCCCCGGGCGTCAACGGCGACCAGAGCTCGACGCAGGGCTAGGATAGAGCTAGGAATAGTAGCCCCCACACTTTTAGCAAAGAATCATTTGAATAGATGAAGTGAATACAAACTTTTTGTTACCAAGGGAGGCAAACGAGCGCGCGACACGTGGGTACCGCGGAACCGCGAGGAAGAGATGGGCGAGAGATAAATATAAGCAATAATAATTCTATGCAAACGATTATCTTCGCGCGAGTGCGAGGACTAAATTTTCCATAGCCAACAATCTTCACCCACGATCAAGCCAAGCTGGGCGCTGTAGCCAGCCGTCAGGGCCAAAGCTAGCCGCTACAAAAGAGCCAGCACAGGGGGCCCCAGGCGTCGACAGCGCCTAGAGCTCGACGCAGGGCTAGGATAGAGCTAGGAATCGTAGCCCCACACTTATAGCAAAGAATTGCTTGTATAAATGAAGCAAACACAAACCTTGCTTGCATGTCGCGACCTTTCAAACCTTTAGCTCGAAGAGAGCCCCCCACCATGGGTTCCAAACCATCGTGGGAAGCCTATGATCACTTAGCAAACGAGGTCAGGTTCCCACGAGCCTGTGTCCCCATGCTACACATTATGTTTGCTCTTTCCTTTCGGTGGCCTCCTTCCAATATCTCTCCCTTCTACACGGACGACTACTTTCGCACGAGTGTGAGAGCTGAAAAACTCTAGAGCCAGCGATCCCTGTCTACAGTTGAGCCGGGCCTAGCGCCGTAGCTAGCCGGCGGGGCCAGAGCTAGCCACTACGGAAGAGCCAGCACAGGGGGTCCCTGGCTTCGACGGCACCCGGAGCTCAACTTAAGGCTGGAATAGGGCTAGAAAACTTAGCCCCCACACTTGGCGAGGAAACGATCATGTAGATGAGAGAGAGGATGGGCTCTTACCACCGAGGAAGCAAACGAATGCGCAACACGCGAGCGTCGCAGGGCCATGAGAAAAGAATGGGGGAAAAGAAATATAAGACTTCAAGTTGTATTAAGCTGATGAATTGAAAAATTGAAAATACTTGAAGGTTGAAAGGACGATTAGTTGAGCCGGGCCGGGCACCATAGCCAGCCGGCGGGACCAAAGCTAGCCGCTACGGAAGAGCCAACACAGGGGGTCCCGGGCTTCGACGGCACCCGGAGCTCAACTGCAAGAGTCCTCCCAAGAGTAGACCGAGGCAGGCAGCAGGTTCATGAGCCAACCCCGCGCTTGGCCCCTGAGGGTCATGGGGAAGAAGCTCGCCATGACCTGGTCATCACCCCCCGCCGCCTCTATGATCGTCGTGCAGTACTCGGAGGGGTTGACACCGCCGGCGTACTTCTCGGTGAGGCTGGGTCGGAACCTTAGGGGCCATCGGACATTCCGAAGACTCGCCACAAAGGCCTGGCCACTAGCCTTTTCCGATGAGGATGTGGGGGGCCTAGCCCCCTGCCTGGGGTGGCGCGGCTCTCCTGAGGAGGCTGCGCCTTCCCCCGCATCGGCGGTGCGACGCTCGTCGCGCCGGCGCTCGAAAGAACCTCAAAAATCACGAACGCACCCCTTACCTGGCGCGCCAGATGTCGGAGAATGAACACCTCCACCAGGGAACCGTGAGGCCCCCCTTTGTGAGTTCGGCCGGGGGCAGCGGGTGAGATTCGAGGATTCGGTGAGCGAAGCTGTTTGATCTTGAGGGGGTTCAATCCCGCAAAGACGATGAGACAAAAGGGGTTTATACAGGTTCGGGCCGCTATGAAGCGTAATACCCTACTCCTGTGTTTGGAATTATGGTCGAGTGTAGAACACAAGTGCCTGGGGTTGCGATACTCAAGCGCCAGTTCGCTCGAAAGTCCCCCCTACTACTAGGCCTGGACCTCCTTTTATACCTCAAGGGATTACCACATGGGCCCAACAACCTAACCTAGATCCGGTTGAGAAGTATTATAATCTTTGCATTAAATGCATGTCTTGTCTCTTGACTTGGGAAGCCAAGCGCACGTCGTCTTGATGATGGGGCCTGTCAAATCTTGCCGCCTGACACGGGGGGTGGCCCTGTCAGTCACCATTTAATGGGTGAAGACTTTTGGGCTCCTATTACACCGGGAAACGGGAGCCTTGCTTTGACCAGAGCGGGAAAGAGTGGCCGCCACCCCACCTCGGGCCTGACTCCCCTCCGGGGAGGGCCACGTGGCATCGGGGGGCGGCCTCTGTCACGCCCGGAAATTCACTAATAATTTCCGAACTTATTTGTGCATAAAATCCTCGTCCAGGAATCAGCCGAGGTACACAAACTGACAATTTAATATACAAATCCATCATAATAATATCATTAATACTTACAAAAGAAAAGAAAACAGCAGCGGAATTAACGGTCTAGCGATAGCTTCAGCTCCACTCCCACAGGCAGCTCAACTGGGGTATAAGCCAAACGTCTTCTCCTTCTGGATCCTTTTTCTTCAACTGAGGTTGATTGATTATTGCAAGAATGAGCATATGACATACTCAACAAGCCACACAGGAAATATGCAAGTGCACAAGGATTCCAAATGATGGCATAATATAAGCTCATTTGCGAAAGCAGCATTTAGCAAAACATTTAAGAGAAGTAAAACAGTAGAGTCATTAATCATCAACTTTAGTCAACACTGAACAGCACACCCATGCTGCTCAGGCCCAACCATCCTGAACAACCATACCCGGCTGTACAGATCTAACTCCAAACCAGGAGCTAAGCAAATTATTACCAAGTATTAACATCCATATTTATTGTGAGAGGTGTGAGACTAATCACGAAAAACATTGCTCAACTCGCCCATAACCGCGGGCACGACTATTCGAATAGTTTTACTCTGGCCAGAGGTGTACCACTGTACCCACAAGACACGATTCCACACATGTTGCCATGCCCCGAAATACCACCACGGCATTGCAAAGGGGGAAATCGTGACAATACCCTTTGCACAACACAACTCAAAACAGTGCATCGTTCCCGGATCATAGTCACCCCCTTATAAACAAGGCATGGACTCCCCAGCGACCCCCATGGACTTCTCGCCACTTCTCAGTCTGGCGCACTATAATGAATCATGCTATACAAAAGATAAAGCCGTTGCCCACGCTGGCTTGTGGTTGGCACGATAAATGTTTCACAACAGTAGCTCGCGAACCGGTCCTTAATTGCCATGAGCACGACCTTCAAAACCATGTGCTCACAACCCACCATTAATCATATTTTTAATTACCAATTAATTATCATAACACGATTAACCATCGTGAGCTACCATTAAATATAACCATAAATAATAATATAGTATATATGATTCATCCCATTAGTGAGCTAATGTTTCTAAGCATTGCTAAGCAATTATATATATAACATTTTGCTGAACCGAACCAATACATAAGGTTCAAGCTAATCAATTTATTACCCAAGGTATCAAGGAATAGGGCATTCAATGCAAATTGGCCATAACAAAGGAATAGGTTCACACCACCCGGTGACATTCGAAAATAAATGCACAGTTGAAATAAATAGAGAATTTAAATATAGGATCAACATGCTCAAAGGATTGTGTTTAGGATCTGTGTGACTTGCCTTGCAATAATCGGTCTTCAATTAATCTTCTTGATCACTTCCGACGCACCCACGAACCTTCGCAACGACGGAAACGACAAGCTAACACGCAAAACGAAGAAAAAGACTAATAAAAACCAAATAAATAGTACATAAAAAGTAAACAAACACGTAGATCATGATTTTAGATGAATTATGAGACTTGAACGGCCTCATTCTGACTTCCAATGAATTTATTATGAATTTTACAAGATTAAATCTAATTAAAGCCCATTTAAAAAGAATTAAATAAATTTAATTCAATTTATGGACAATTTTAATATGTAGATCTTTATTTTAGAAAAATTTAGCAACTTGAACCACCTGAAACGGATCTACGGTTATTTAGTTATGATTTTCCGAAGATTTAATCTATTAGAAAAACGGGAAAAAGAAAAACCGATGACGTCATGCTGACATCATCCATGGCAGCCACAGCACGGGTGGCGACCTCGCCGGAGCTAGGGTGGTCAGCCGGGATTTTGGAGGACACCTATGCGAAGAGAACGACGAGACGAACGCAACGGTACTCACCAACGCGACGAACGACGACGGATGACGGCTGGCAACGAGAGGATGGCGGCGGCGGCTCGGTTCACCGGCGGCGGCGGCTCTCCGGTGGCCGGCGGCGAAGAAGGACGGGTGGCCGGGCTTCCCCTCCCCTTGGCGCACCTTTTGGCGATGGCGGCAAGCGGCGGCGACGGCGGAGGCGGCGGCGCGGCGTGGCCGGAGGTTGGCCGGCGGTGGCGGCGGGTTGGGTGGTGTGGTGGCGGCGCTACAAGGCACGAGAGGCCACGGGAGAGGGGGCAAACGAAAGAGGGCGACGAGGGGATGCTTTATATAAGCTTGGATTGAAGAGATCGGACTCCAAACGAGAGGAATCGCTTCGGGAAATCAAAAACTCGGTTTTGGAGATAAACTCGAAAACGAGTTTGATTCGGATAAAATACCCAACGATTTGCTCCGATTCATAGGGGAAAAGATAGAGGAGGATGAGAGGATCAAAACCCCTCAAAAATCCGGAAGAAACGGGGTCGGATTGGGTGGGATTTGGGGCGGCAAGACGGCGAGGCGTGGCCGGCTCGAGCTCTGCCTGGCAGCCGGCTGGAGAAGATGACACTGTAGCAGGGAGGAAAAGTAGACTTTTCCGGCTGGGCTTCATTTCCTCGGCCCGATTGAAGGAGGGAGGCAAAACAGACTTTGACAGAGAGAAGAGGGGAGGCCGGCGGCTGCTGGGCTGATTGGGCCGGTTTGGCCGCGCGGAGAGAGAAAGAGTTGGGCCGGATTCGGCCCAACGACTTAGGGAAGGATTTAAAAACTTTTTCCAATTAAAATAATCACTTAAATGATCTTTCAATTGTTAAAAATACTTCCAATGCTCAAATAATTTCAAGAAAAATCCTGAAAATACTTGGACACTAAAAGTACTTAACAAAATTATAATTAGACCATTTAATGATTAATTTAATATTTAAATAATTGCTAAACTGCTCTTTGTATAATTAAAATTAGGAATTGAGCTCCGAAAAATCCGAGAAAATTCCAGAGAGTATAATTAACCATGGAGAATTTAATAAAAATTAAATCCATCCATGCTTTATATTTAGGAAATTTTATTTCCCACATTTAACTTCACTTGTAAATTAATGAACATTTAATATAAATTCTAATAATAATTTATTAAATAATTTATAAATCCTGAAACAAAAATCAGGATGTGACAGCCTCCTCCGACTAGTCTTTGGAAAGGAGTGGCCGCTACCCCACATCGGGCCTGACTCCTCTCCGGGGAGGGCCACGTGGCCTTGGGGGCGGCCTCCTCTGACTAGTCTTTGGGAAGGAGTGGCCGCCGCCCTACCTCGGGCCCCACTCCCCTCGGGGGAGGGCCACGTGGCCTTGGGGGCAGCCTCCTCCGATTAGTCTTTGGGAAGGAGTGGCCGCCACCCCACCTCGGGCCTCACTCCCCTCGGGGGAGGGCCACGTGGCCTTGGGGGGCAGCCTCCTCCCTCTAAACATGATACCCCGGGCCCATATCACCGACAGATAGAGATATTGTTAGAGATTATGTAAGATATATGATAACTTGATGAATTACATAAACGAGATTAGAGTATCATAAAGATGGAAGCACTAATCCTGAGAATGCAATCCGTCATAACGAATTTTACCTCTTATTGAAGATCGAAATCGATGCAGCTCAACCCGAAAGCAAGAACTCGTCGAAACAAAACTAAAGCAAAAGGGTGGCGATGCGCCGAAATTGTACTGAACGTGTGTGTTAAAAATTACATAGGGCTCAGGGTCTATTTATACCCGAGGATCACAAGATATGCCCATACCGGACACAACCATTATCTCTAACAAACTCTAAGATACCACAAGTCTTTGCGGCAGACTTTTGCCCACACTTATCTATAAGGGATTTACATAAAATATCCTAATTAATAGATACAATTGCCTTCCCAGGACTCTATCCATGCGTGGCCATCATCTTGAAGCACATCAACTTGAACCCGATGTCGCGTACAAGTCGTATTGTCGGAATCGGCTATATCGGCTTATTTAGCATGACTCAGACTCAGCCGATCCTAACCATAGCGGATCCGGACTCCAGCCGATTCTTGCTCTGTTTCCGAACACGATCTCCGCCTCCAACTCCGCTTTGATCAAATCCTCTTTCCTGATACAAATGCTACCAAATTTGGTTGTTAACACATGCCCCCCAAGTCCGGGATATTTGATAATGTTCCGGATTTGCTGCAAGCCGACTCCGAGCAAGTTTCGCACTCCGCCACTTTTGACCGTTATTCCAGTGCTTTAAATACTAACCGTTACCCCCGAGAAATCTCACGTCGTGACCTCCGTTTTCACCGCTTAAGCGAAACCTTTTCTCTCTCTTCTCCGGCGATTCTTCCGGCGTAAAGGCGATTCCTAGGCGACTTCTTCCCCGGCGAGATCTCCGCCCGCACCAATGTCGTCTTCTGCCAGCCCACCCGGTGCACCATCGGCCGAATACGCTGAGGTAAGTTTTCGTCGGCTAAATCCCCTTCTTTAGTAGCAAACCGATTTTCTCCAATCTGATATCGCCTTCTCCCTCTGAATTGCTTTGGATTTGTAGCACATTTCCAACCTAGTTGCGATTCCCAGCCTGTCGCATGAAAATCACTATTTTCTTGGCCCAGTCGGCAATCCAGACCCCACCGAGTTCATCATTGGTGAAACCAATAGGATCCCCTTCAGATTAACCAACCCAGATCTAGGTCACTGGAAGAACACCTTTAAATTCTGGCCATCCCTAGAGAAAGTTCCACCAGAAAAGAGCTGGACCACATGGTTCAAACGTGTATCGGACAGCAAGAAAGTTCACTAGGATGAAATTGGAATCGGCCAAGCACTTGACCTTACTATAGTGAATTCAGCCAAAGATGAACCCCTGATGGCAGCTGCTTCTTACTTCTGGTCAAACACCACCAATGCCTTTCTGTTCAATCAAGGGCTGATGACCCCAACTAATCAGTATGATCACAGGTCTGCATGTTACCTCATCTGCCAACCCTATGAGTTTGAACACGAAGAACCAATATGATTTCAAGACCAAAAGTATAGGAGGTTGGTCAGGCTATGTGGCAGCATACATGGGCTAGGGTTCGGTCACCCCTCGAGAACATGTGGCTTTCCTACTAATGTGGCTAGAAAAATTTCTCTTTTGTGGATCAAGTTGCGGCCCCACAACCAACTGGCAATTTTTAGCTGAAGCTCTTGAAACAAAGAGACAAT